CAAGTACATGTACATACCACTTTCACACAAAAAAAAAATGACAAAAACAGTAGAAAAGTATTTAGAGAAAATAGACAAATTATACATATCATAGCCAAAGACTGGTGGAATTCCTGAAACTTTGTCTCTCGCATAACAATTATTTACAATAATTTTAAGGCACCAATTAATACATTTCATATGTGAAGCAAATAAATTCAATGTTTTTTGTATAGTACAGGATTTAAGCAATACTTTCTCACCTGCTTGAGGGCTTCTTTGGCTATTTCAGTTTGTAAGATGGTTTGATCTACTCTAGTATCTGCGTCAAGATGCATGTATTTCCTTAGTTTGTAGTACTCTTGTAGTTCTATTTGCACACGATGTAAAACCTTATTTGCCTTCTCCACTGGTAGGAATAGTAAAATCGCTCTGGAATCAAGTAAATAATTCCTTTAATTTGAATGAAAAATAGTGCACCTCAAGTATTGACACACATTATGGATGGGGAGGAGGTCAACATGCATACTTTTTGCAAGTCTCAAAAGTAACAGAGTCTATGCAGACAATTGCTTGATGCCCTATAAAATAGTCAAATATTCCCTTCACATTTTCAATCAGTCAAGAGAATTTTTCGAAATTTTGGCCTTGAAATTGGGTACCCTCATAAGAGTCTGTGTTTTGCATTGTAACTTATAATTGATCTTATTATAAAATATGCTATGTTTGAAAACCAGAATTACATGTTTAGTAAAATACTGGTTTTAAATTTGCTATTTTTGCTATAAATGAAAATCCACTTATAAAAAAAATTTATGACATGGTGGTCAGGTCAAGGTCAGGGTTTACCAACATTGATGCTTTCTGTTAAACTGTGGTTCTGCAATCCTTGGTATATTACCGTTGTGTAATGGTAAATATATTTTGAATGGTCAGCCAAACTCTTATTATGATTACAAACATTACCTTGAATAGACATATTTGAATAAACCTGTGATTGACAGACATTTAGAAGACACACATGGCTGTTGCCATGAAAATTATGTTTAAATTTTGTCCAACTAGCAAATCGTTACAAATATTCAAGGTTGTATGTGACAGAAAAAAATCAGTACTTCATGCATTCTGATTATTGAGAAAGAAAGACTTCACAGAGCGCTCCAGATGCATCGCCCCCAACCAGATGCATCACCATGAAAATGAGTTGCTATCTTTTCCTTCATATACCCAGAACAACAATTTAGGAATGGACTGAAATGTCTGCATTTCAAGGGCTCACCAATTCAATACAAATTCCTAATCAATTTCCCTGCATTGACTTTGAAAACCCTGAGACACAGTCATTTTCATGACGAATCTACAATAATTTGTAGAGTTGAATGCAAATAAAAAAAAAAATTCTAATTGTAATTATTGAAAATATAAACTCACTTTTGTGGAACTCTAACTCTGGCAGTACATGGAACTTTAAATAACACAGAAATTTCCCCAAAGTAGTCTCCTTCTGAGATTGTTGCTATGACATCCTTACCATTTTGCGATACCACCTCAGCTTCTCCCCTCACCACTATAAAGATTCCCAGAGCTTTATCTCCTATGAGTAAACAGATGAATGAAATTTGAATGTAGAAGTTGATATGAAGGATACTGTTTGAATAATAATTTATCATCATGATGACAAGCTTTTTAATTTCTCTGCTCAGCACTACATAGATTCCATTTTCTGTCTCACCTAACAGACCTGAATTGTAGTATAGAGCCTAATAAAAGATTGCTGTTTGGTAAATAATTTGAATAATTTATTATCGTGGTATTACGTGATCCAGATAATTTTACTTCTTCCCACTATACAGATTCACTTTGCCATCACCTTGCCTATGAGTAAACAGACCAGAATTGAAATACAAAAAAAGTTAATGGAAAGATTATGTTAATAACTTATTAAATTTAGTCAGTTACGCCGGGATATTTAAATATAGATTTCTTGAAAAAGTAGAAAATTATGACCATAAAAGTATGCCACTGGGAGCAGCGGGACATGAAAAGCATTGCAATCCTATTTTTTAAATTCATTTTCATCAAAATACCATACAAGTGCAATATAAAATAAACAAGCAGCCGCTGTTAGCAAGGCACATTTCAATTAAAGAACTGAAAATATCATTAGAAAATGAACAATATGTATAGTATGTATAGCAATCGGACTTAATGTTTTCAACAAGAATTCAAAAATATCACTTTTTACCAAAAATGACATAAATATTCATCAAAATTAGATAATTGAAGATATCATCACGAAATGAACAAATCTGAGAGGTCTACATGTAGTACCTATACATGTAATAGGTCCACATGTAGTATCTATATATGTAATATCAAAGCAATTGGACTTGCGGTTTTTAACAAGAAGTCAAAAATATCACTATTTACCAAAAATGACAAAAATATTCACCAAAATTAGAGAATTGAGGATATCATCACAAAATGAACAAATCTGAGAAAGGTTCACATGAACTATACATGTATATGTAATATCAAAGCAATTTGACTTTTAGTTTTTAACAAGAAGTCGAAAATATCACTTTTTACCAAAAATGACAAAAATATTCACCAAAATTAGAGAATTTAAGATATCATCACGAAATGAACAAATCTGAGAAAGGTCCACATGTAGTATCTATATATGTAATATCAAAGCAATTGGACTTGAGGTTTTTAACAAGAAGTCGAAAATATCACTTTTTACCAAAAATTACAAAAATATTCACCAAAATGAATGAAGATATCATCATGAAATGAACAAATCTAAAAGAGGTCTACCCAAGGTACATACACACCAAGTATCAAAGCATTCAGGCTTGTAGTTTTCAAGAAGAAGTCGAAATAGTAAAACATTGACACGGACGACGACGACAGACAATCACTCATATGATAAGCTCCGCTCGACAAAGTCGACAGCGGAGCTAAAAAAGTCACTGGGAAAGTTCCACAAATCAAAAAGTAAGCTTTTTTTTACCTTTCAAGACAAATAACCAGCACAATTTTTCAAATGGGAATGATCTGTAGCCAGTGAGAAATTATATGTCTGTCTGTTTGCTTTGAAACTAATCAGGAAATTTTAGTTAAAGCGAGGGAGTCGTCATCTGCGCATGCGTCAGATGGCCATAGCCTGTCATTGTTTACAAACAAGCATCTACCCATGAGCCTTTGCATTTTAGTGTGTTGTTATCGTTGCTTGGGACTCGATTCCAGCACATACGCAGGTGACGACCCTCTGGCTTTAAATATACAAAAATATGCCAGAACATGATTGTTTCTCACCTTTATTTAGAATATCAGTTTGTTTTTTGATGTCTAGTCTCTCCACATGTCTTGCAATACGCTGGCAG